TAAATTTACAGACATTTCTAAAATTCTGTTTTCACTTTGTCATTATGGGGTACTGAGTGTGAGAAAAAAAAAATAATTTGAATGATTGTAGTATCAGGCTGCAACATAACACCATTGAAAAAAGTGAGGGGGTCTGAATACTTTCCGAATGCACTGTATATGAAAACAAAAAGGACACACATAGAAAATGGAAAAGGGGCCAGGCCATAAAAGAAGAGTACAGACAGGTAAGTGAACACACAGAATTAGCTCAGATTAATGAGCAATTTTAGGAAAATAAAAATGGCTTCTTTAGATTTGTTCAAAATAAATAGGAAAAAAAAAAAAACCAGTGTACCAGCTGCTTGATGAAAAAGACAAAAAGCTACCATATAACAAAGAAAAGGCAGTTACTCAACTCCCATTTTGGCTGTCTTTTTCCAACAAAAGAGTATTTGGTCCACCAGGAAATGTAAAGGAATAGGACTAAAGCCTTGGACTGACATAAATATGGTCAGGGAAATACCTCTTTACTTTAAAAGAATTTAAATCTCTAGGATTTGCTGAACTGTATCCTAGGGTAGAGAAGAAAAAGATGATGGTCTGGCTGAAACATTATGTATTATCTTTGAGAAAATTATTTTTACATGAGTTCCCAAAGCCTCTGGTTCTTGGGGACTCCAATCTATCACCTGGTGACATTGAATCTGGGTTGGCTCATGAAGGCATGGCCTCCATGACAACTATGGCTATATCCCAAGTCATCTTGGGCCCAATGCATATCAAGGTTGCACACTGGACATGGCTTTTATCTCAGGACAGTTGAGACATGATCTAATTTTAGAGGATCAGATCACTTTCTGATTGTTTCTCAGCTTGCTGGCATCACCCCACCTTGCAGGGAGATAGGGTCTGCTAGATCAGCTTACTCCAGGTCACTGATGGGAGGGAGCTTGGGTTTTTCACTGAGGGTCTGATGGGAGCTTGGCTGAGGCCTTGGTCACAGCCTGCAATGGAAAGGTGAGTAGGGCCTTAAACCAGATTGCCATTGTGTGACCTCTCCCCCTACACCAATCCCAAGGTACATCTTGGTTCCCCAAAGAGCTCCAGGAGATGAAGCACAGGAAGAGATGCCTGAAGCGCTGCTGAAGGAAGACAAAGAGTGAATCTGACCAAGTACAAGCAAGAACCCATATTAGGGATTACATTATGGTGATAAAGTCAGCAAAACATTATTGTGTCTGCTGATCATAGTTTTGCAGCCCTTTTTAAGGTGACCTGGGCCCTTGTGGGGAAGGACAGGCCACAGGACCATATGCAAGGCTGCTGTGAGGAATATTCTTGCTATTTGGCAGAGAGAGTCACTCAGATCTGCTCAGAGCTGGGTTCCAACCGGACAGATCCAACTGAGATGCCTGAGGCAAGGGCCTGTGGGGTTATGTGGAGCAAGTTTGACTCTGTGACTCCTGAGGAAATGGACAGAATTTTAAAATCTGTTAGCTTGGCCACCTGCCTGTTAGATACAGGTCTGTCCTGGATGGTTAAAGCCACACAGGAGGTGACCTGTAATTGGTTCCATGTAGCGATGTTGGCTTCCCTGAGTGAAGAGGTGGTCCCTTTGGGCTTGAATGAGAGATGTACCCTCTCCTCAAGAAGCTATTACTAGACTCGATCCTGGACAATTACTATGTAGTCTCCATTGGTAGAGACGGTAGTTGGGCTTCAACTCCAGAGGACCCTGGAGGAAGTACATTATTTAGAGCCATTTCAGTTGAGTTTTAGGCCAGGGTTCAGTACAGAGACATTGGTTGCACTGGTTGATGACCTGTGGCAGAGCCAGGATGGAGGTGGTGTGTCCATCCTGGTGCTCTTGATCTCTCAGCAGCTTTTGATACCACCAACCACAGTATCCTTTTGGACCAATTTCAGGGGTATGAGGCACCATTTTACGGTGGTTCTCCTTTCTCTGTGGCCAGTGTTGACAGGTGAGGAGAGATCATGCCCATGGGCCCTTACTTGTGGGGCACTATATGGTTCAACGCTCTCTCCCCTTCTGTTTAACATTTAGTTGAAACCACTGGGTGAGGTCATCCACTGGTTTGGGATCAGGTATCATCAGTATGTTGATGATTTCCAGCTGCACATCTCAATTCCAGGCAAGCCAAGTGATGCTGTCAAAGTCCTACCTCAGTGCCTGGAGGCTTTGCATGTCTGCATGAGGAATGGCTGTGCTTATTTGAACCCCCAGGTTCTGGGGCTATTCCAATGGCATTGCACTTCCCCACTGAGACTGGTGTGCAATCTGGGGATCCTCTTGGACTCTCAGCTGCTGGTTGAAGAGCAGGTGGCAGTTGTGGCCAAGAGGGTCTTTGCATAAATTTATGTAGAGTGCCAATCACACCCTTCCCTGGACCAGGAGGCCCTTCAGACAGTCACTCATGCCCTGGTCACCTCATGATTAGATCACTGTAATGCACTGCAAATGGGGCTGCCCTTGAAGACCATCTGGAAGCAACAGCTGGTCAAGAATGCAGCAGCACAGACAGTGTTGGGGGTACTGCATTATGTTCACATGTCCTCACTGTTTCACAAGCTGCACTAGTTACCAGTCAGCTTCCAGGGGCAATTCAAAGTGCTAGTTAACACCTTTAAAGCCCTTCATGGCATAGGTCCTAACTATCTGAGAGAC